CCCCCCCCCAACCTCCCCCTCAAAGCCCAGATCTGCTGGGCTGTGAATGCCACAGTCCTGGCTCCGATGCAGAGCAGCTCTCAGCCCCATTTCTGTCTGCCAGTGTCAGCCAACCCAGGCAGTGCAGGGTAGGGGAGCAGGGAGAAGTGGAGTTAAGATACTACATCCCCAGGCAGTAGGGTGGCCATCATAGAGGACAGTCCGGTTGTCCTCTGTCTTCTGTTGATATGAAACCCAAAACCTTTATGTCCTCTATTTTTCTCTTAAAGAGAAATAGAAAAATAGAGGACATAAAGGCGCCCGGTTTTGTATCAGTAGAGGACAAAGTAGCAGAAAACTGGAATGTCCTCTATGATGGCCACCCTACCAGGCAGGCTCATGCTCCTACTCCTGCTGCTGCTCTGGCCCCAGTCTCTGCCCAGGTGCTGGGAGCATGTGTGCACGCATGTGCGTGGCCCTCAATAGCTCGCTAAAACTAATTAAGTGGCCCTCTAGCCCAAATAATTGCCCAGCTCTGATTTAGAAAATTGTTAGAAGGGGATTTCAAGGTTGCCTATCTCCTGTCTCCTGTGTTCTCACGGTGTGAGAGCAGTCTGGCAGGGTGCTGCTCTGAGTCAGGGCTCTGCTGATGATGATCTTTTGTCTCCTTCCTTGGCTACAGGAAAACTCATATACAATCTCCTTCTGTCTTTCTTCCGCTGCACTTCCTGTGAAGCCTCTTAGAATTTAAAGAAAATAAAATCTCTTGGCATAGTGCCTATTTACTGAGGGCTAGTTTGAAGGGACAGTCTAAACTTCTGCAGTCTAGTTCAATCAACCCACCAGTTTCATGATACCCACCAAACTTTCAAGATACAAAGTCTTTTGTTTAAGAATATTATTGTTTGATAAAGACACTAACAAAGATGCTGTTGTCAATTCACAGAGTCTAAGGCCAAAAGAGAGACCACTATCATCTAATTTTGCCTATACCTTTTATTTGCTTCTTTCCAGAGTTATAATTAACTATGCAGATTTCTGTAAAGGCTCTTCTCTTCAAGAAGGCTTTCCAGGTTCATTTGCTCCATGAGTACAAAGAAGTCAAAGACCAATAGGGACAAATTTTTCAAAGTGGCTGCCTAAATTACAGCTGCAAAACAGAGCCATTGTTGTTAAATTGGGCCCAAATAATATACTCTCTGTCTAAATTGACCACTCAGGACACTGACAAAAGTTAATTACTTAACAGTGTAATTACTTCTAATAACAGCAGAGTAGAATTGTTAAGATTATCTCTTAGGACAGCAGATGCTATCTTCTTTGGGATTATTTATTTCTTTACTTATATGTTCCACATTGCCCTGGTAACTGAAAGCCTCACAAACAGAAACAAATACTTCTTCAACCCACCAGTTGTAAAGTAAGGAGCTACAGCTCTCTTCATATTAGAGATGGGGATCCAAAGTGTAGAGCAACTCTGACTAGTCTGCACCACAAAGAAAAATCAGTGACAGAGCTGGGAATTTCCTGGCTTTGATTGTTTGCATCCAAACCCATTTCTACTGGTACCAGACTCTTTCCTTTGTTTTCTGGATCTTTTCTAAGCACTGATATTTTTTTTCAGTCCCTTGAATATTTCCCCCTCACAATTTACACACAAGCATACCCCTTCATATACATACACTTGTTTTTGTGATAAGCTAAGAAACTTCTCCAGTTTCTATTTTCTAATGTCTGTCCCATGCTGGAACAAATTATTGAAATGTTTACTTGAGTGCAATGTTTTAAATTTGTCATGGTTATAAATGGTGTCCTGACCCTGATCACTTTGAAATTAACTTGAATTATATTGTATGCTTCTATTAAAGGTGTCTGCTCATCTGAAACTTCAAGAGAAGGATGAGGGCAGAAAGGAGATGGTATGTACATTGCAACCCAAATTGAGTTATTCTTTTTTGTACCAGTGGGTACATAGGGAATGTGCTAGAGTGAGAATTACAACCTGGAGAGTTTAACGTTCATTTGAATATTAATGGGTAAAAATAGGTTAAATCATAACATAAGTTACCAGCTGTTATACCATGGGAGTGGATAATTGAATCTATAGAAATGAGCACTCAGGTTGCTATTGATTAGGTAAACTTAAAAAAAATAATTCAAATGCATTGTAGATTTAAGGGACTTTTTCACAATTCCTCCTGGACCTCTTAGTTCCAAACATGCGTACCTCTGGGCTTACCCTTTCTTTAATGTGTTCATACATATTGTCACTGCATGGCAATAATCAGAACAATTGGTTGTTGATCAGTACAACAATCAGGCCAATTGATAGTGTGCATGAACACAGTCAGTAGCAACTGTTGCAGAAATTTACAGGCTTAAGCCAAGTGCTGCACACTTAAGGTATGAGTCATTGAATATATCTTGATGGTCAGAAAGGCAGTGGTTTGCAAACATATAGTCCAAATGAGCTAGCTTAATACAGCTGAAAAACCCCATTGAAATGCAGGCTGACCTGTTCAGTTGACTCTGTGGTCAGTAAGGAGCCTAAGCTAAAGCACAGCTAGCTAACACAAGACCTGAGCCATGCAAGGCTATACAGTAAGTGTGGGTTCCGGAGGCTGAAACACATACTTTTTTTTTCACATGTGCAGGCAGAGCCTTCAAAACGTTAAGTCTTTGTGTTCCTAGGCAGACACGAAGCTCAGGTGTTCATTGCTGCGTGGGTGGGGGTACCGGCGTGTGCCAGCACATGTGAGGGAAGAGCGATTCATCACTACACAGAGCATTGTAATACAAAACACAATCAGGGGAGGGGAGGATGACAACAGGCTAAAAATTTAAAAAAATTTAAAAACCCCAACATTGGCGAAAGCAAAGACGGTTCAGGTGGTGAGAGATTCATGTGAAGTACAATGTTCATTTAGAACGTTTTGTTTGTTTGGGGTCATTTTTGCAGGTTTAAGAAAGTACCAGTAATAAAAAGGCCTCTTTGTGCACCTTTAAGTACAAAGATGTAGTCACAGGCAATCCTGAGGCTAATGGGAATTGCATGTCAGTACAATCCTGCAGCTGTAATTGTGCCCACATACTGAGCAAATGAGGCCCTGCTCTGCTGCTGACTTCCTGTATCAGTCTGAGCAAGACTTCCCACTGTTAAGATGGGACGTGCAGAGACTCCTACTTTTTTTCCTTCCAGATTCTCATTTTGGGGCATCCATGACTTCCCAAGGAGCAGGAATGGGAAGGAGTGCCAGATGCTAATTTCAGTTAATCTAGTGTAAATCCTGGGGGGCCATACTGTGCTTCTAAGAGCCGCAGTTGCACTTAGGGGACCTCCCATGTGCCAGACTCATGACACCTGCATGGAGACTTGAGAAGGGGAAAGGACAGTCCAGCTTGCTGAGGCCAGCAGAGGCTGTTTTCTGGTTCAGGTGGCTGCATGGTGAAAGCAGTTGGAGGCTGAGTGGCTGGCAAAGGGGACTGATTGGTTGAGGAAGGACATATGTCCTCTTCCTCCCAGCTTCACTGAGATTAGAGAAAAAAGGGAGTGATACCTGAAGCCGTCTTCCCTTTTTTGCACTTGCCAGGGGGCACGAGAATTCCTTAGTAAATTGCTCTGGGCCATGCCTCTTGGGGGTATAGGGTATGGACACATACAGGTCCTCAGCTGGGATGGTTCTGGACCCCTTTTGCCTGGCCAGGTTCCACACCGAGCTCTAGAGAATCTACTGTGGCTTAGTCTGACTCAATAACTTGAGAGGAAATTTGGGTGTTTCTTCTTCTTCTGTCAGATTTGACTGATTCATACTAATCAAACTGAGATCTGAATTTGGCTTCTGCAATATTGTCCTAACAGATACGAACCTTGTTCTGTTAACACACAACTCCATCAATGGGCAATTTATGATGCTTAAGAAGAACACAAAACCCTATAATTTGTCTATCTGAGTGTGAGGTGGTGTTTATTTATAAAAAGAGAGAGAGAAGAGGAAAGGAAGGAAGAAGGAAAAGAAAAAGAAGAGAGATAATCTTTTCTGGCCCCCAGTGATATCATCATGCACCCTGCCTAAAGCATGAAAAATATGCAAAAATCGAAGATGCAGGAGCTGGTGTAATATATGTAGTTTTCTTATTTTTGTGCAAACTGTGGGTGCAGTAGGGACAACAAAAGCTGTGTGAAGCAGTTAGAAACATAATAGGGAGTGAGTTTCCTGCAGAGGCTGGCATAAGTTCCTGTATCTGCTTCCTCTGAATAATTGTCAGAGGGAATTTAAATGAAAATTGAGGGGTTCTTGAGAGAGAGTAATCCATAGGAATATGTTAGTGTTGGATAGCACAGGGCTTCTTTGATTCCATGAAATAGGATTTCTTAATGAACTGAACAGGATCCTCCTCAGAACTCAAGTACAAAATTCTGTTGTATTTTATAGTAGCCATGTCTCAGCAGTGAGAACGGTTTCCTTGATTCATCTTAAAAACCTTGTTAAATCACTTACACCACAGTAAACAGTCAAGCAAGCAAGCTTAACTCACTTGCTTAGCTTCCCAGTGTAGCTGTCATGTATATGCTTTTCAAAAGAGACTGTCTTATTTTTCTATACACCACTAGCACAATGAGGTCTGGATCGTGACGGGGGAAGGCTCACAGGCTCTACAGCAGTATAATTAATAAATTATTAATTGCTACTCAGCAATGCAGATATTTATCGTTAACAAATTCTATGCTTTTTAAAGCCGTTTTAGCACAAATACTGATATTTGTTATATAATGACTGGGCCAAGTGGAAAATCTCAGATGTAACCATTCCCTCTATGCCTGCTCATCAATTCTGCACTCTAGGCCAGTGGATCCCAATCTTTTTCATCCTGTAAACTTAGGATGAGCCCCTTTTCCCATAGTCTTTCTGATCCCCCTTCCTTCTATGCATGAAGAGAAGGAAGGTACTTACCACAGTCTCCCCCGACCTATTGAGAACCCAGCATCTGGAAGTTTATCTTCAGATGTTATTTCTTCTGCAGACTGTTATTCTTTAATGTTAAGTGTGTCATGTCAGTAGTGCCAGTCCAGAAGGACAAACATCTGCAACTCCTGCTGATGTCAGCAGGGTTCAAGTTAAAGTGTTCAGCACCCAGCAGGATTAGGCTATTATTGTGTACTCTGCTGTGTTAACAAAGTTTCCATAATACTAACTCCAGCCAAGCAGCTATTAGCTGTAGAAGTTACGAGATTGCTTTCTTTTTCTTGAGTACTGTGGTAGTTGCCTTTTCCTTCATTGCAAACTGGAGCAATATAAACTTTCATCCTGTAGCACTTGTGTAAGTAGCTCATAAACTGCTTGCATGAGTAAGAGCTATAAGGCTGGGCCCATAGAAAATGGAAGATAAGACTCTTTGGCTTTTCCAGTGGCTTATACTTTGCATGATGCCACTACTTATGTAGAGTTTGGAGGATTTCTGTGAGTTTCTCCTCATAATACCCATGAAAATTCATCCCCCTTCCCCACAAACATGCACACTTTTTTTTCAAATTGGGCACCAAAGAAAAAGTAAGCATCTGAAATCAGGTGCCACGTTTTAAAATATAACTCTTGAGGAGCAAAGATAGTCAATGAAAACAATTACCATATTTATAGAATATAAGATGACCCTGATTATAAGATGACTGGCCAACAATTAGATTCTATATATGGAAAATGTAGAAATTTGTTATAATTTTTGTGGCAGAGAATCTAATTATTGGAGGTTTTCCTTGAATTTGTTCCCCTCTCTTTGCTACAGCTAGGCAAATAAATCTTGGAGGTCAAATACACCCCTCACACTCTGTCTGCCCCCAACTTTTTCCCCCTGAAGTCCCTTTTCCCCTCCTTCTTATGGTTAGTCCCTGCTCTCCCTGAGCATATGGAAGTGAGGAGCACATCTCAAAATACTGACCTTGAAATAAACATAGTGATTTGCATTTTACCTGCTTTGAAACTGCTGCAGTTTTTAGCACAGGTACTCGCTCCATAAGCACACTTTTTTAAACAGTACTTTGACATCTACTTATATATAGTACGAACTATGCATGCTATTAGTCCAAAACCAAAAGGCTCATGATTTACGACATGATTCATTGGGTCAAGAGCATTTCAAGCCATGGTAACCCCACAGCTTAGCACTGCTCAGTATGTGTGTACTTTCAGATACTACCACAGATTCTCTGTGGGGGGTTTGTCCCCACTCATGACTGGAACCAGCTGCTCTTGTCATGAGTTGTGGGATGCTCAAAAATGGTATATGCAGATGAGGCACAGGACAAGCTGGTCTGGCTTCACTTCATGGAAGGCAGGGCCACACTAAATATATGCAACAGGCTGAAAGAGGGAGTGACGGAGGGATTCTGGGTGAACTGCAGAGATCAACAGAGAGTTGTGGTGTAAGGAGTGGAGGAGGGAGACCCAAAGCTCAAAACAATGGCAGCATTGCCATGAAGTGAAAAAAGAGTTGAAGAGCAGAAATGAACATCTGGAGACAGATGGAGAGTAGACAAAGGTGGAGAAGAAAGGAAGAAAGAAGGTGAGCAAAGGAAGAAAACAGGAGCAATGGTGGAGACATTAGCAATAAGAGTGACAATGCCAAAAGGAAGATGGGAGCAGAGGAGAGCAGGAGACAGAGTGGGAGCAGTAGGAGAAGGTACATCGGGAGAGAAGCAGAGGTGGTGGGAGCACAACAGCAGGCCAGCACACTGGGAGTGGCACAGCGGGAAGACAGGAAAGAGGCACCGAGAGATGCTAGGGAGGAGCAGAGGCAACCGATAAAGGCAACTTTAACCAGAGACGGGAGGCAGACAGGATCAACAATGAACAGATATGTTTTCCTGGAAAAGTACTTTTTGAGATTTTGGAGGTGCAGGTGGAGCATCTCACAAGAATGATAGAAAATGTAAAGGAAGCATGTTTATTTGGCTATGTTCATAATTGACAATGTTCTTCTGACATCCAGCTTTGAGGTTAAATGCTAGTCATTATTGCAAATCAAGGAACCCCACTGGGAATAGTCATGAGGGGGAAAGTGAGCAAAATTGGAAGTAGAATCATAAACAACATGCTCCAGAGCCCTTAGTAATCTAATAGAAGTTTAATTCCATCTGTCCTTACATTATGCTGGGGAGGGCTTCATTTTATGGATCATAACATAGGATCAGCTGGTTTTCATTCTTGCTAACAAAAAAAAATAAAATAAAAATCAATGCTCATGCTGAGATGGTTCTTTTATGGTGGCAGATTAAAGAATATGTGATGTTGTGCTGATCTTTTCCCTAGGTAAAGGAAATCTTGACAGCTCTGGGTTTGCTCTCATGTGCCAACACAAGAACTGGGAGTCTTTCTGGAGGCCAGAGGAAGCGTCTTGCCATTGCTTTGGAGCTGGTGAATAACCCCCCGGTTATGTTCTTTGATGAACCTACTAGGTAATTCAAGGCTAAAAACTAAGAAATAACTGTTCACAACTGTATACGCTGTAAAAATACCATCTTATGTTTTTGTCCCTCTTAGCATTTCAGAAGACAATCAAGACTTTCCTTTGAAGCACAGGTGCCAGAATTTGCATTGCAACAGGCTTTGTAATTTTGTATTTTTTGCAAAGCTGGCATTTCTTAATGATTTTAAAGGCTCTGACTTGCCACTGCTTTTCTCCAGTTTTACTCTGGAGTAATACTGAAGACCTCAATTGAATTACCCTCACCTAATAACATTGTGGTACAATGTAGTGGTGAATAGGCCCAAGATACAACATGAGCAGCTTAGCTGATCAAATACTGTTGTAAAGGGGCTACAATGGTTTGTTTCAGGAGAAACAAAGTGGAAGAGGGAGATGGCAAGAAATCCCAGAGAACTGCCCAAAAGGGACAGAAAAAAATCTTTGGTTTATAACACAGTTTGTCTTTAAATGAAAGTAGTTTATTGACTTGAACATTTTTGAGAATTATGTTCTTTCAGCGTAATATATTTAGGGCCACGTTCTGACCTAAGTGTCAGTTCAGTGCCTGTAGCTAACCTGAACTCCATAGGGTCTACAAAAGTGAATTTGCATGCTATACTTGGGGACATCTTGATTTGGAAACCTCTGTCAGAGAATCTGGAAGTGTTCTGAGGCAGCCCTCAAAACAGTTCCCATGTTAATTAAGTATGAGTAATGGAAAAAACAGGGAAAAAAGAAATAAGAGTACAGAGCTAGTGTGTAGTGACGTGTAGGATGATACAGATGCAACCTGTAAAAAGATGACAATGTAAGATTGAAAACACAAGTCTAAGCACATGTATATTTCTGAATTGTTGCATGTAGAACCACAAATCTAACAGGCTTTATTTATTTATTTATTTTGCATTATTTTCAGCGGCTTAGACAGCGCATCCTGTTTTCAGGTTGTGTCTCTGATGAAGGCTTTAGCCCAGGGTGGCAGGTCCATCATCTGCACTATCCATCAGCCAAGTGCAAAACTGTTTGAGCTATTTGATCAGGTAGTATTCTGAAATTCTTATTTTTATATATTTATTGCAATACATATATGTATATTACTGCACACTCTAGATGGTACAAAAGCCATGGATTGTGTCCAAGCTCAATATCACTGGAATCAATAGGTCAGAACAAAATCCAATTGTTCTTTGTATTTTTCACTCCTGAACTTGTTTCTAGATTTTGTTCTTGTTAGTTGGTAAATTTTAGAAGTCATGGTCATCATACATCTAATTTCCAGGTCCTTTCCCATCTTCGTTTTGTGTGTAAAACTCCTGTTATAGTGTATTTGGTAGTTTACCATTAATGTCTGCATTGCTGCCTAGATAAAGGTGTGTACAGAAGTGCTCTGTGCATGTTTTACATTGCTGTCATTTAGAGCACTCTAAATGTACAGTGTTATGAAAAGTGCTCTTAAACATGGCAGAAGTGCAGTGTTTGGTGTGGTGGGGGTAGCCTGCCTGCACTTTCCAAGCTAGGAGACAGGGTGTGCTCTGCAGCCTTCTGGGGCTACAGGAGACTGCGGACAGAGACAGACTAGTGGAGAAAGCTGAGCTGGGATGAAAGGCTGTCACTCAGCCTCCCATCTTACCCTTGTCTTCCCCACCCTTTCTCCTTCCCTGCCCTTCCTCCCTTAGCTAGTAGTGGGGGCACGACTTCTGCCAAAGCCCAGGCAGTAGCTTGCACTCAGGTTGATAGCCTGGCTCCAAGCATCTGGTCTCCAGCCATGCAGAATCTTGGGGTGTCCCACCCACAGTGTGTCCAAGCGTCTGGTCCCTCCAGCCATGAAGTGTCTCAGGGTGTGTGTGTGTGTGTGTGTGTGTGTGTGTGTGTGTGTG